TGACACAAGAGGTGTGTGTCACGCAAAGACTACCGAAATGGACCCCTGAGAACATGGTGTGTCAGGTGGTATTGCAGGCGTACTCTAAGTGGCTATGTGAGCCCCTTTAGCTATAATAGTTTATCAATGTAAACTTGCCAATTGTGATTAACTTATCGTCTTTTCATATTAGTCTATGTACCAGCGGGATTCTGTAGACGGAAAAGATATGTGAACTGATCCTTTACTAGAGCTCTAGTCTTTGTTATAATCAAGACCTTTATTATTGTATTCACAATTTGTTGTTAAATTGGCAAATAAATAAGAAAAGTATTAGGTTGTAAAGAAAGTTTCCGGGCACTTTTGAAGACTTCATTTTCAAGCGCTCGGTTGGTCCTTGACACCAAGTTTTTATACTGTTCAGTAGAGGGACGCCTAAAGTTTTCAACGCGGCCTCAGATTTTTATTGATGCCAAGACGTGTTTGATCTGCACATCAGGAAGAAAAATCTTCCCATCCATAAAAATTTCGCGATTTTTCTTCCTACGGCCATTCTTTTGTGCAGTTCAAAGAATTTTGTCCAAATCATGGGTGATCTGATTGAGAAGCCTGTTAACTTCTAACCCGCAGCTGCCCTCGAGTTTTGCGCCTTGCGCTTAGAAATTGCAAGCTGTCGAACTTGCCTCTGACTGCAACTCTTTTCGCAGCTGGCGTTGCCTACGGGGATCGCCACGCCTGGATGACGGGTCCAAAAGATGTGTAAGGCATTACCTCAACAATGTTCGGTGATGCATTCGGTGCAATGGTAATCAAAGATTTGGTCTACCCTATGCACAACGACAAAATTTCACAGTCATTTACTCGAAAAATGGCGATTTTTAGGGGCAAAAATCCTACAACAATAACGCGCTAAGGCCGTCTGTTTTTTTGTGTGTGTGTCTGTGTGTAAATCTGTCTGTCACGAAATTTATAGAGGAAGCTGCAACTAAGCTATCGGGCTGCAATTTTGCATAACATACCGCGTCAGCGTGTAGGCCCACCATGCACAAGGACGAGCCGGTTCGATAAACGAGTCCCTCAAAATTTGCTCGTCAAACGGGTCCACGCGCCTTTTGGCGCGCAAAACTAGGTCGCTAATTCGACTTTTTGCAAAGTTATGATTTGCCTGACAATTAACTCTGCGCGGCATGAATTCTAGCCCAAAAAATGCTCAAAAAGTTTGCTTTTTTGCGAAAACAGCGCCAGAAAGTGATGAACGCGTAGATAGTCGATTTGGCAAGGTTTTATTTGAAAATCTGAAAGGATTTTTGCACTGAAATGTAGCCCAAGGTGACTTATTATCCTTATGACGATTATCGAACTAAAATAAATTCAGTAATCCGTTCAAATTCGTATTTGTTTCTTGCAACAAAGTTTTTCTTCTTCAAATTACCGATCTTACATGGAGATGCTTCATGAATGAACAGTGGTTTACGATTCATTTGTGATGCTCAGCATCGCGTGGTGAGTTTCAAAGCCATTCTCATGCGAACATGAGAAAGGCATACGGATAGGGAGCCAGTGCGAACCTCCGCGAAGCGGAGGTGACGCACTGGTGTCTCCATATCAGCCCCAGCAAACTTCTATATAACTACAGCATTTGAGCTGCCCAGCTCTTATCGTGCCTTAGATAAATCCTGCACAAACAGGCCACTTTTCGCCCGAGCTTCTTCTCTTCTGCGCATGTGGTGGACAGCAGGGAGGTGCTGAAAATCCAGCAAGACAAATATATGTTGCAGACGAAATTGTCTTTGCAATGAAGTTTGTAGCTTCAAAAAAAATCAATTTGCTTGAAGTTACAGCAATTTGAAAAAAAATTTTTGCAAGTGCCCGGAAACTTTCTTTACGACCTAATAATTTGCTGTTTGACATATTCAGCGGCAATATTTGAAGGAATTAGCGTTACCTTTACTCTCTTGTTCGTGAACTCAACATGGGATTAATTGCTATATGCAATCAGGTTATCCATTGTTAGTGGTTACAGTTACTCAAGAAGCCAAGCAGAACACGTCTTCATTCCAAGTGGCAGACAGTAAAGAATGTAACTAATTAAGGTATTCGTTAGTAGGCATAAACAATTGTTCAATTTTTTCAAAGTGCAAAAGGCCTGCAAACTATGTAAAACTCATTTTTGAACCCTAGCAGACGCGTACGAGTGCAACAGGCTAGTCCTGTACAGATAGCAGTGCATGTCTTAATTTTACGCGTCAAGGGATAAGGAGTGTGCATACGCGAGTGCGCGCTTGGAGAGTTAATTCATAAACTGCAGATTTTTTCCACTAAGCATTGGTCAAACCTTACGCGATTTCGATCACCGCAATATGACAAAGCTACGGATGCACCATAATTTTTCGTCACGCACTCTTGGTAAGCAAGAAATGTAACGCCAGCATCAATCTAAAAAAGCTGGGCGCCTGTGCATGAGACTGCGCCGATGGAATGACCGAGGCCTTAGGGCCGCATGTATGAACATCCTCTCCGTGGAGGGAAACGCAGCTTGAAAAGCGGTGTCATGTCATTTTTCGGGCCTTACAGATTTGATTTTATGTAGCTGTCCATCTTTGACATTTCTACTGCTCTTTACCATTCCATGATTGTACTTATTGTTTAACACATTGACGACTGTTTTACACACATGCTTTGTTAAGCAGTGACTATCGCGTGGGACCGCTTTACACACACGGTGCGTCAAGGCTTGTATTCCTTTAAAATGACGACCATCATGAAGGAACTCACTCCAAAGGGGCTTCCCTCTGTACTGTATGTAGAAACAGTCTTCGTCTTTTATTAGCCTTTCAGGGCTACTGTAGAATTGTAGATGGCGGTATGTGCCATTTGATTTGGAAAACGTTGACGGGCCCTGAAAGCCCTCAGTCTCAAAAGGCAGACAACCAAAAATTTGCATGGTCGTCAATGTGTTAAACAGTAAAGCTAAGACCTTTGAACAATCGAACTTTAGACTACGGAAATTTTCGATAAATCCCAAATTTCGACTTGCGGTTCATCGAACGTTTCGTCACTTCAAATTTCAACTGTTTCTATCAGAAACATGTTAAGCACCGTTGAAATAGTTGTGCTACAGTGGAATGTTTACTTCGACCTCGAAAACCGTGAATTAATTTTGAAGGAAAGGGTTGGCGGCCGGACATTATCCGGTCATACAAAAGCAGAAAACGCCGCTTATAAACAATGCGCTCCTATTCATGTTACAGTAAAGGGTAGAAGAAACGCTTTACTGGATAAAAGGTTACGATGGATATAAACATGAAATCCACATCTCACGAGCTTCAGAGGATGAAGCTTTTTTGTGAACATCGCTCTCCTGCCTGGGATGTTGAGGCATTCGGACATTGGCGATACTAGTGAATCGGACTAACATAGTGGTCTGCTTCGTCTCTGTTTGTAATCTGTAACATCCGTTTTTATTGCAAGAATAGGAGACACGAAAAGGCTACGCAAAAGTTGCTATACAGGCTCAAGCAGGGCCCAGCACGAGGGTGGCAAATGGACATCAGTAAAATTCGCCTTTGCCACTGTCGATTTTTACGATTTCCCACTTGATCGCGGCTGCGTAGGCTGTTCGAAGCCTTCCTCAAAAAGGCCGGCGTCGTTGCTATTTCGGATTCTAACAATGAGGAGAGGAGTTTTGGAACCAAATGTTACTATATAGTGATCTTCAGGTGTAGAACTGATTTATGTGGAAGTTTTGAGAAAATTATGTGATTTGGAAGTTTTGGCCTGCCCCATATATGCCTTAGGTGAGCAATGCCCAGCACGCTCTTCAATCACACACTTTCTATAATTCTTCATACTTTGTTCCTAGTCCTACTCCGCATACACACACCAAATTCCGTGCCATATCGTCATCTGCGCATTGCAAACGAACCATGTATCATTTTGTGGTAGTGGGAAATCTTTGGAAAAAACTTGCAACAGCCTCCACATAATTTCTCCACGTTCTCTGCACTCTGCTCCTCCTTTTCCATTTCGCTTACACTGTAAATTCTGAGTCGTATCGTTATGTGTGCGCTGCCGAGACATTCAATCACAACTCAGTGAAAAAAATTTGAATTTTGATGGTGACGCGTGAGTTTACCGTGTTTTTGCATGTCAATCATGTAGCAACTTGTCGAGAGAGTGTATGTACATGTAAACGTATATTTACGATATTCCCTTTGCTTTCCTTCCAAAACAATTTCCAGCTTGACATTTGCCCAGCTCGTGCAGGGCTCTAGGCTCAAACTCTTCCACCTTCCAACTATAATGAGGAAATATTAAAGGCAGCATCCAGGCAAATCTGGGCATATGGGGATCTCACGTGTAAAGTAATTTTGGGGCCCTAAATAAGCCGCTGCTCAACCGACAACTCAGGTTATGCTCTAACGGCTGAGATATTCCCCTCGAAACTGAACCCCGGGATCGCATCATGGTGCAAGCCATGGGTTTCGTTTGGATCCTCGCCAAAAACTGATGGTTGCGCCATAGATTCATGCGAAATACGATTCTGGGGTCCAGTTTTGAGCGAAATATCTCAGCCATGAAAACACCACCAGAGCTGCCTGTTGGGCAATGGCTTAGTTGGGGCCCCAAACTACCTATGCGAGATCCCCATATGCCCAGATTGGCTTGGACGCTGCCTTTGAGAGTTTGTTGATGCATTAATTCTAACTGCTGGAGACTTCAGCGTCTTCTTCTATGTGTGCACGCATCTCAGGTAGACGCATCCTTGGTTGGTTTACGAAAAAACTGTGAATTGAGACAGTTGTAATAGGTACACGTAACGGTCGGGTTCAGGAGATCATTTTCTCGGCGTCTGAAGCGAATCATTCTCGTCAAAAGAGAACTGCAAGTTTGCTTTCTTCAAATCAAGACAGTGGTATGAGAGAATAGAAGCTCACAGGAAGGCAATAAACCTATAATAACTCAGTTTCTTCCTCAAGTTCAGGAACCTCCTCAAGTTGTAAAATGATGCGTAAATGATTGTTACATATATTTTTCTTCAAACTTCAAACAGTGTTTATCTTTCTTTTAGTTCTAGGAAATCTATAAGATAAACTAATAATAGAAGTCATCTGAATCTCTGAGTTGAGAACATTCACTGCAGAGAATCTCATTGAACTTTACTCTTTTTGACTTGTTCACGCAAAACTTCAAGCAATTCTCATACCGTTCTCGTCGACGATACTGCTCTATCTGAATAATGAAACAGCAATTTTCACTTTCTTTCAAGATTGAAAGAGGCTTTGGTACCTTACGCCTTCTCACTCACCGATTCCCCATAGCCTTCGTGTAGAATTCGTGCCTGCACAGAGACGATCACAATGAGAAACAATATAGCCGCTCGCATTGTATTAGAGCTGTTAATAAAATAAACATTGCCGCTCCTCGACTAGCTGTTTTGTTTGAGGATGATAAGCATTGAGTCAAAATAAAGCTTCATTTCGTTGGGGTGACGTGTGTTAAGCACTCTAGCGAATCTTCGGTTCTTCTCCATAATTTCCGCAAATTCATTCTTGCTTGAACGCATGATCCTTCAGCATAATAATCAGCACTCTTAGGCCCCGGTCAGACTTCACGCGACTTAATCGTCGCGATCTAATCGCCAAGATTTCCATTCATTTTCATTTCACATTCAAAAATGTCGGGCTGGAAAAGTATCACAACCGAATGCAAGTTGATCAGCATGGAATGATGTTGTAACAGTTGTCTCGTCGCGACTCAGTCGCCGGTTTTACACGTATTTGATGCATATCGATCGTCGCCATGCTATACTCCTCGATGAGTATAGCGCCCGCCTTAGGCCCCGGACAGACTTCACGCGATTTGATCGTTGCGACCGAATCGCGACGAGACAACTGTTACAACATCATTCCATGCCGATCAACTTGCATTTCGGTTTTGATACTTTTCCAGCCCGAAATTTTTGAATGTGAAATGAAAATGAATGGAAAAGTCGGCGATTGAGTCGCGACGATCAAATCGCGTGAAGTCTGTCAGGGGCCTTAATGTAATCTCTCAAAACCTCCTCCCCTCTTTCCTCTCCCCTTTTTGCTCCACCACATGTTAATAATTTGATTGTCGATAAATCGCAAATCTTCCATCCGTGTGTTCTAGACAAGGCCTCCAGTCACTAGCGGCGGAGCGCATGAGAAGCGGTCTACAACAGTGAAAATACGCGCGCATCGCCTTCGCGCCCACTTAGCTAAAACTCCTTTTACGCCTACGTTTCGCAGTAGCCTATCACAGTATGCGTCTGACTGTGTAGCGTCAGAATATGAGGAGCAGCCCCTGGATAGGCGAAGCGAAGAAGGGGCAAAACGGAATCGGGATTTCCAAAATTGAAAATTTATTTTTTTCTGAGGGCAGCACTTGGGGACCAAACTAACACGACGCTTCATGGGCTTGCTCGTAGACTAATAGTAGTAATCTGGGGAGCATAAATTTTGTGTGGACGCCTTCAAAGGTTTGGCTATACTACTCTCGTAATCCCTCTCATGTTTGTTGCTTTGGAGCGCAAAAGCTTCCATTTGCGTGTACGTCTCGGAAGTAAATGAATGCTCAGCACGACTCCATCATTTTGTTCGAATCTAAGAGCAATTTAGCATAACTAGCTGTGACTGAAGCAGTTGTACAAAATGTGGATTCCAGTGCTTTCATCAGGACATGGTTTCAAAGGTATAGGGTATAGGTCGTTTTTGCGCCCCATGAAGATGAGAACCTCAGCAAACACTTGAATTAATCTGCGTTCATACTGATCCGGAACTTGGGGAGTTCCAGCGCAGCGCTCGAATCGAGAAGTTTTTGCACTTCGGGATCAATTTGAACGCAGCCTAAGGGAACATGGAAGGTATGGCCTCTAATCCGTGTTTTTGTCTGCCCTCAGAATCATGAAAACAATCTTCAATCAAAATTGCTTAAAAGAAGATCCCATGTTTTGTGCAGTTAGAGTTTTGCTAAAATCGTTATGCAATTTAACTTGTGGACGCCGTTCCCGATCAGCGCTTTTGATTTAATTTTAACGACAGTCTTAATTTTTCAAAAATTCAGGAGATTTGCAAAAATAATTCTGTGGACATTTACCGCAATAATTACATCGGAGTAGTAGATATGAATATTTGGCAATTGTTTTGTAAAAAAAAACCTTCTCATCTGGTAAAATCCTTAACTCTTCAGGAATACTGTTCATTTTTACCCTAGTGATTTAGGACGCAGCCCTGAAAATCGAAAGTTCACTAATTTTGAGATTGAAAAAGAGACGAGGAGTTACCTAGTAAACGAACAAAATTCATTCCATAATTTTATGCTTTTGACTTAATTTTCAATTATTTCATCAGTAGCTTCCATGTGCTCTCTTCTTTAAACCTGGGCATTTCGTATTGTTTGTTAGTGATATTGTGCCGAGCAGGTTTTTATGGTGGATCTTTACTGCCTGATGTTTCGACAAATATCGTCTTGTTCGGGCCTGAAAGGGACTGCAGTTTTGTATCTGTCTGTCTACACGACCAAACGCCTCCTCAAGCTTGCGCGCTCAGACCTTGTCTAGAATCAACGTGCTGGGATCAATCCGAATTAACAGTCACCAACCTTCGATCCACCGCTAAGTCAGTCAGCCCGCACGACTGTGGCGAACATCACTGAGGATTGCCCAGTGTGTCAAAGATATATTAGGTTGGCTAGAAAGTTCTTGCGTAATTCAAACAAAATTCAATAACTTTTCAACGACTTAACCTAAATTCACAATCTTGTCCACTAAAAATATTAGAAGGCCTGCGCTCCATGATGGATGTTTAAGCGCAAGATTTCATGAGCTAGCCCTTGAGAACGAAGCTCTCAAATATGGGACTTCAAAATTTGCAATTTTGAGTTTGGTGCCAGAAAATCGCAGAGTACCGCTAGCTAGTCGAAAAAAATCTGTAAAAATTACTTACACTGCAGAAGTCCATACGTTATTTTAGCAGGCTTTAATCTCGCATAGAAATGCGAAAACAAAAAATTTGTGGAAATTGTCATTTTACAGGATAAATCCCCTTATCGATGTAATTTTTTCACAAAAACACAGTTTGCAACCAGAAATAAGACATATTGCCCATTTAGAACCTTGCGACGTTTTTTGGAGTGTAAAAAATTGTTTGAGTGGATTTTTTCCGCAAAATGACTAGTTCACGAATTTTTTGTTTTTGCTTCACCGTGCAAGATCAAAGCCTTCCAAAGTAACTTGTGGACTTCTGCAGTGTAAGTAATTTTTACAGATTTTCGGCTAGCTAGCGGCACTGTGCGATTTTCTGGCACCAAACTCAAAATTGCAAATTTTGAAGTCCCATATTTGAGAGCTTCGTTCTCGGGGGCTAGCTCATGAAATCTTGCGCTTAAACATCCATCATGGAGCGCAGGCCTTCTAGTATTTTTAGAGAACAAGACTGTGAATTTAGGTTTAGTCGTTGAAAAGTTATTGAATTTTGTTTGAATTACGCAAGAACTTTCTAGCCAACCTAATATATAGTCTGCGGCTATAGTCGATATAATGATACGAAGGGCAGAATGTCGCTTGTCATCGTCAAGCATTCATTTTTATTGTTCATCACCGGATTTCCGGCGGATATCCATGCTGCTTCCAAAGTCTTTCGTGCCGAGATCTCGGTCTCATATGCTAGTATCGTGCATTTTACATTGAAATCGTCACCTTTATGTGCCTCGGCTCTATGTTTTCCCACGGCGATGACGTTGTCCCTCGCTTTTTGCTGGCCAAATGTTCTTTGACTCTAATACTTAGTTTTCTTCCTGTCTCCCCTACATACGTGGCCCCGCAGCGTAAGCATTCTAGTTGGTAAACACTACCTTCCTTTGCGCAGTCTCCTAAACTTCCACATGGGCATGCGGTTGTCCGTTAAGCATTCTGTGTCATACAACCTATTTCTGATCAACCGCTTCTTGACGTTAGTGCTAGGAATGTCGACCAGCATTACTTCATCGTCTAACTGCGCTCGTGTGCCGAGATCTCGGTCTCATACTAGCATATGAGACCGAGATCTCGGCACGAAAGACCTTGGAAGCAGGTGGATATCCGCCTGAAATCCGGGGATGAACAATAGAAATGAATGTTTGACGATGACAAGTGACCTTCTGCCTTTCGTATCATTATGTCGACTATAGCCGCAGACTATATATATATATATATATACTAGCTGATTTGCCCGGTCCAGCCCGGGAATGATCACTGATCGGGAATGAAGATAAGGTATTCGGTGGCATTGTAGAAACTGTGTAAAGAACAAAAACAAAATGTGAACACTTATTAGTCGGTAGCATATCTCTCTTTCTCCAAATCAAGTTCAACACGCAAAACCTAAGCAAGCAGCGCGAGTTAATTGATAGCAGCGCTCATTGTTATTATGAGGATCATTTTTTGTGACACTTTGCCGTTAACCGGCTACATTATCTTCATTCACTGCTTGCCGTCAATTTTTGTGGAGTCGGCAGTACTTTGCACTCGCGCACTTTCCTGGTCCCAGGGATCAACTATAGCGAATGTGAGTTGTCGCTTGTCTTGACATTATTTCTGGTATTGACAAATAATTTGTGCGCAATCTCATGAAAAATTTTGACCCATCATTGTTTAAATTGAGCATGTAACGAAGAAAGCATCTTATATATAAAGCTGAATGTCTGTTTGTCTGTCTATCTGTCTGTCTGTCTGTCTGTATGTATGTATGAATGTCTGTGTGTACGTATGTTCCGAATAGAAAATTCCATTTCTGAACCGATCGGGACCAAGCTTAGCACACATACACTTCGGGCCCCGGCGGGTGTCATAGGCTACTTTTCGTTATCGATCGATATCGATTTTATCGATTTTTTTTGCAAAATTTGAGCTACGGGGCTGGGAGTTGGCACAGGGAGTAATCGAGCATGCTGATCACCCCCATGGGGGTACCGCTAACGTCAGAGACAAGAAATTCGCTGCCCGAAAAATTTTCTTCTTCCTCCAAAGTCATCGGAGTAGAAGTAGATTAACGCGAAAAAGCGTTCTAAGTCGAAAATGGATTTGAAACGTCCTTCTTCTCTAAGCGCTTTTGTGATTTTTTTTCGCCCTCTGGTAGCACCAGGAAAGTCAGCAGGTAGGTGACCATTCTCTTCATACCATCATTTAGGATATATCAAGAAGTCATACGGTGACATCCTGTCTGGACCATTTATAGCAATCCTTTGAACGAATTTTTAGATAACAATATGTTTTGTAGAAGGTTGACCTTAAGTAATTGCTTAGATGCTCCACCGTTGTGCGACTTCTGCGTTGTGTTCTGATAACAGAGTAGATAGAAAATCCTCTCTCCACCTCTGCCGTGCTAGTCGGAATGGA